TTGAGACCCAGGACCCACACAGTAGAAAGTCAGAAGCAACTCCTACAAGCTGTCCCCCAACCTCCACGTATATGGTAAAACATGTGCCCGGCCCTCAAAAAATATGTAAAACATATTTAAAACAAGATGGTAGGTGAGGACTGACAGGTAAGGTTATTTTCTGACCTCCACTTGTGTGACATGGCATTTGCGTATGTGCACACACACTGATCTCACTGTCAGTATGGGTCAGTAGTAGAATGTGCACTTGGCTTGCATAAGGTCCTGGATTCAGTCCTTAGCACCAGGAAGTCAGTTTCACAGAAGGTGAGGGTAGGATGGTGATGAGCCAGGAGCTGGGGAAAAGAGGAAAAGGAGAAGATGGAGGGTCCCAAGTTCTAGGTAGGGGTAAGATGCTCCATGACTGAATAACTCTAGACAATATAGTGCATTTTAAAAGGCTAGAAGAAAGGATTTTGATGTTTCACCATTAAAGAAATGAGATTGATAGCCGGGCGTTGGTGGCGCACGCCTTTAATCCCAGCACTCGGGAGGCAGGCGGATCTCTGAGGTAGAGGCCAGCCTGGTCTCCAGAGCGAGTGCCAGAATAGGCTCCAAAGCTCACAGAGAAACCCTGTCTCGAAAAACAAAAACAAAAACAAAAAAAAAAAAAAAAAGAAAAGAAAAGAAAAGAAAAAAGAAAAGGAAAAAAAAAGAAATGAGATCGATATGCTTGGCTTGATTTAAATGTTATAAATATGTGCAAGTTTCAAAATATCCTGTGGTACTCTATAAATATGAACATTTTTATGTTTCCATTATCAGTTGAAAATAGATTTAAAGGCCAGATGTGGTGGTGCATACCTTTAACCCCATCATTTAGGAGGTAGAGGCAGGCAGATAGTTCCAGGTCAGCCACGGCTACATAGTGAGACCCTGTCTGAAAAAACAAATCAGTTATGAGATTGGGGAATAGTTTAGTCAATAAAGTACATAGAAGGACCTGAACTCATTCCCCAGAATCCCCAGAAGAAAGCCAAGTGTGGTGGTATGCGCTTGTAACCACACTGCCAGAGAGACAGATGGAGGTCGCTCTCTTGCTTGTTGGCTGGCCTACTCAGTGAGCTCCAGGGCAGTGAGAGGTGAATGGCTGAGGAACAGCCCCTGAGGCTGACCACTGGCTTCCATATGCGTGGCATGTGTGCTCCAGCACGCGTGCGTGTGCGCACGCACACACACACACACACACCCCTAAATACAGACTCACATGCAAAAATCCTTCCATTAGTAGAGTATATAATGGGGCTTCACTGATAACGTGTAGCTCCAAAGATGGACCCTTAGACCCTAACCTCGTCACATATAAATACAAACCTAGGTATTTTAGTACTGCAGCCGACATTCATTGGAGTACAACATGGATCATAATCTCTTTCGCCAATCTCCTAAATATGTATTTATTCGTTATTAATTATTAGTTTCTGGAGTGTTATTTCCAAGGCCAAACATTAAATAAACATGTTTGAAACTCTAACGATCTCAGTAAAACTGAGTGAAAGATAAAAGGCTCAGTCTGAGACCTATTCATAATTTTACCAACTAAACTGCCCAATTTTTCATAAATTTGCCCTTGTTTACAAAAAAAAATTTCCTTCCTCAGTTTGAAATGTGGGGAGAAAAAAAAAACATGGGGATATTCATTATTAGTGTATTTTTATTTGTGTTTGTGAGTGTAAGTGCATGTCTGCATACAGAAGTGCACACACAGAGGCCAGGAGAGGGTGCTGAGTATCCTTTGCTACTGTCCTTGAATCTGAGGCTCACCCTCAGCTAAGCTTGCAGCAGTAAACCCTGGCAATCCTGTCGCCCCTGACCCAGCCCTATGCCAGGGCAGAGACAGAGCTGCAGGCATGTGTTGGGAACCTAGCTATTATGTAGTTGCTGGGATTCAAACCCCTGGTGTAACTCGAGTTCTAATTGGTCTTAATAAAAACCCAGAGTTAGATATAGGGGCTGATGCTGAAAGATCAGAGAAGCAGAGAGCCAGCCACTAGTTCTTACCTCTACCGAATCTTCAGACCAAAGGAACAGTCCTGTCCCTGCTAATCCTCATCTGAATGCAATGAGCTCCTGTCTCCTGCTTTATATTCCTCTCTCTGCCCAGCCATATCACTCCACCTCTTTGTGCTGGGATTAAAGGTGTGTGATCCCAAGTGCTGGGATCACCTTTATGTGTGCTCTGTTTCTCTTTTAGACTGGATCAATCTTGTATAGCCCAGGGTGGCCTTGAACCTGCCTCTGATTTCCAAGTGCTGGGATTAAAGGTGTGTGCCATCACTGCCTGGCCTCTATGGATAACTAGTGGTTTTGCTCTGTACAAACAAAATATTACCACACCCTTGTCTTCATGGTTGCCCAGCAAGTGCTCTTAACTCTTGAGCCATCCTTCTGTTTACTATTTTATTTATTTGTTTATTTTGAGAGAGGGTCTTCTGTTGCACAGACTGGCTTTGGACTTGCTGTGCAGCTAAGGGTGATACTGAATTTGTAATCCTGGAATTACAGACATGCACCACCATGCTGGGTTTTACACATGCTAGGGATAGAACTGTGGGCTGTGTGCATGCCGGGCAAGCATCGGACCAACCAAGCTATGTTCTCAGCCCCATATTCTTCCATTGTTTAAACTTGTTTTCTTCGACCAGATGAAAATTTGACAGAATTTCTAAGCTCATTATCCTGTCCAAATATAAGTTTGAGGACAGGATTCTAATAGTTGGGAAAACCTTTTCCCTGTTGGAAGCATTTCATCCAAGAGGCCCTTCTGGCCCGCCCTCAGTGCTCATTTCTCCTGGGGCAGTGCTGTCAGTATGGAGTTAGTGCAGTAGTTTAGCAACAACAAGGTCAATTTTCAAAGTCAAATCCTGAACATTCTTGGCAGGCAGCAGATGACTCTCTCTGTAAGGATGCTTGTTGACACTCTTTGCTGCCACTCTAGGTCAGGGCTGTAAAGTGCCATCATAGTCCCCTAAGAGAAATCCTCTACCCTCATAGAAGGTTTGTTGTGGACTCCTATGAGTTAAGCCCAGAAAGTATTAATAGAAAAAAGATATTTACAAAATAGTACTGACATTTTAAATATTATATTCAGAAGGGCTACACACTCACAACCTGAAAACACATAGAAGCCATTAGGCTTGGAAAATGTATATACCTTATTTTTTTTTAATTTATTTATTAGTTCTAGTTAGGGAACAAGCTTGTTTCACTTATAAGTCCCTTCTCCCTCTCCCTCCCCTCACCCCCATCCCTCCTCCTCCACCCCCAACCTACCCCCCACCCCACCCCCCCACCACTTCCCCGGCAGGGGAGGGG